CTGATATCTGATGAGGACTATGTAGTCAGAAACGGTAAATATTGGCCACTGTTTAATTAAACAAGTGTGGTTGTCTTAACTATTTATTGAATAGTTACTTAAAAATAATAAATATAAGAAAAATAGCGTGCGTCATGGTAACAAACACTTATATTGACACCAATGAATAATTGTTGCCAGCATAGGAAAAAAATTGTACTAATTTAAATGTTGCCAATACAAAAACAAATTAATGAAAATGAAATAAAAACTATTTAATAATTTGTGTGAATTAATTGAACAGCCACACAATATTTTTGAAATTAAAACACGTCATTGCGCCGTAACATGTTCCTTTCATTGTATACAGGTTTAACTCACACCTCTGACAATACAAATTCGCATCGCGATCCTCTCAATTACAAAACCCTCTACAAAGAGTCACCCTAATCAGTCTAATAAAACCTCGGCTGATGATTCACAATGTTGCTGCGGCGCCACCGCTGCATTGTGCGGAGGCGACCAATTGTGCAGAACCCCTGGCTGATCACTTAATTGACTACACAGCGAGAGCTTTGCGCTACCACTCCATTTTCCTCACTCGTTACGTAATGCATCCCACCCATAGATGGTTTAATACCAACGCATTACGCTTCTTTAGATGCAAAGCAGCAATGTATGCGTTGCGATAGATTACATACGCAAATTAACATGGTGAAAGTGAGCCGATGATATCGGATTAAAGTGCACTGAAAATCAGATTTGTTGGCAAGCGATAGGATTGCGTGGGAGCGTTTAATACCACTTAATCTAGACGATTAACTGAGGGAGGGCCCGAGGTTGACGGCGTAAGCCCGAAAAGGCGCGTTCGCGTGCATTAGGCTGTGTAAAGTGGCGTGAGTTATTGGATTTGTTGAATAGCAGCTCAGCAATATACTAAAATCCGATCTATAGTAGATTGCACAAAAGATTTGTGTTCTATGCTTATTATACGTCGGCGGATCTCTATAAAAATACGTGTAAAAAAATCAAAATTAAATAATATTTTTTACGATTTTAAGAGCGTCGGTGGCTCAGTGGTTAAACACTCGACTTGCAATCCTGCAGGTCCTGAGTTCGAATCCCAACATGTACCAATGTACCGTGATGTAACCTGTACATTGCTGCGAAGAAATTCAAAGATATGTGTGAAGTCAACCTTCACTCGGCCAGCGTGGTTGCTTAGTCACCCCTAACTTAGGCTAGGCTCCGAGCCCTTAGTGGAGTCGTTTAGTGAGCTGCTGATGATTACTTCCAAGTAAATTCCAGAATAATCCGTAGTGAGCAGTCACAGGTATTCGCAATTGGAATGATAATAATCCAAAAATCAATATGCAATCCACTCCCCACATTACATTTCCCACGAGAGATGAGACCGCTACGAACTGGCCACTCAAAGCTGGGCTTTTAAATCCGTGTAATTAATGACCAATGTATAACCTCAAAGTCGTTTAGGTTTTTTTTTACAAGAGAAGGGGTAAACGAGCAGCGGGAACACCGAGGTGATCAACGACACCCATGGACATCTGTAACACCAAAACAACTGTAGATGCGTTGCCGGCCTTTAAGGAAATGGTATGCTCGCTTCTTGAAGGTCCCTAAGTCGTATTGGTTTGGAAAGTCAGCCCTTAAGTGTAGATTTAGTATAAAAAATCTACAACTTTAGAAACAGTTTATAAGAAAATGTTGGAAATATTCACAACAATTCGTATCAGGTTAATAAAATTTTACGACTAAATATTTAATCATTCTTAATTAAACAAACACATATGCTAAGATAGATACATTTATAACCTATTTTCCTTAGCGATAAGGGACCAGAGGAGGGGTGAGGAGTGAGGAACAGGGTCAAAGGTTTATCAGCACTTGCGTTCGTATGTGTGCGTTATCTTAAACGCTTCTTTATATGTCATCGCGTCTTCCTTTTGAAACCATCTTGTATGTACAAAAACAAACTTATCGAGTTAAAAATATTACGAAATATTAAAAGTCGAAAAAAAATATTTACTGGAATAAACATTAAATGTAATAATAACATTGAGTGAAATAGTAAAAAATGCATAAGAGTTTTTTTTAAGAGAATAACTGTCAGCCACGATTCCGTCTGCGCGGAATTAAAAAAAAATAATAATTAGTACCCTATATGTTTTTCCAGACTATATTCTACATCTGTACCAAATTTCAAAGAAATATGTTAAGACGTTCTGGAGATACCTTCAAACATCCAGCCATCCATCTAAACTTTCACATTTATAATATTAGTAAGATGGAGCAAACGACACAATGGACACAAGCATTTATAGAAGAACTGCAGATGCGTTTTACATTCAAATTAAAATTACTGCTAATTATTTTGCTTAATTGAATCTCCAAAATAGCTTAGTTTATTGGCTATATACAACAAAAGATTGTGAGATAAAAAAGAACCACTGATTCTTCTAAAACTAATGTTTCATACTTACATTGCATTAGAACGATATACAAATCTATATATATAAAAGAAAGTCGTGTTAGTTACACTATTTATAACTTAACAACGGCTTTACCGATATGGCTGAAAATTGGCGAGGAGGTAGCTTAGAGCCAGGAGACGGACATAGGATACTATTTATTCATTTTTTTTTCGAATTTATGCCTTGAAGATCTGCTTTTTTAACTTACTAATAAGTGCGAATGTTTAGATAGATGTGATGTGGATGGATGGATGTTTGTTTAAAGGTATCTAAGAAAGGCTGAACGGATCTCGATTAAATTTGACATACGTATAGAACATAGTCTGAAAGAACACATAGGCTACAATAATTTTTTTATATATCTATGCGGACGGAGTCACGACAGCTAGTATGCAATAAAAACCCACCCTTAGAAAGATTTGCGTCTTAAATGTTAATACGCAATTAACTATTTAATTATAACTACATAATCACCTAGTCGATACGATATTGATGGTGACAAACAAAACAAATAGAGTAGCAGACGTTCCTAATTTATCCGTGCGTAGTATCCGCGCGGATAACGCGACAAACACGCGAACAAAACAACGTTTGATTTAGTTGACGTGTACGCGTTCAACGACTTTTGCTTTTATTTGACTATCGATCTTGTTTTAAATTGTGATGGGAACTGACTGATTTATACCACTCTTTACGGGCCTCTTCCATGCTGAGAGTCTAAAATTGTTTCGTTCAATGTCTTAATAAGTGTTTGTCCTTTAGAATGAAGACATGTTTTGGTATACTTTTTGTTCAACCTTGTCTTGTCTTATTGATTTAGCGATGTTATTTTTATGTTTTCTTTAACATGCCTTTTACTATAAAATTCACAATCTTTATTTGGATTTAAATAAGATCTTATTTATACGTTCGTAAAATTACTTAAAGAATTTTGTTTATTAAAAAAAAACACGTAGATTTGTTTTTATCAATCTTCACGAGTAAAGTCGACAAACAGACAAATAGACACAAGTAATGCATATAAGTAGTTGAAGATAAAGTTCTGTTAAGGACTTGCAGGAAAGTACTTCATCTTACATTGATCGGCCCGGTGTCTGTCGCCGGCGTACCCCCCGACACCCACATCGGGTGGGGGGCGGAAGCCACCCCCCACGCCCCCAGGTCGAGCCTGACTGAGTAATTGGGTGCAGGTACTTTGCGGCTGTTTTTCAAGGAACCTTTCAGTCTGCCAAGTCAATGGGGGATGGGTTTTTTTTTCTTATTTTGTTTTCTATTCTGTTTTGTGTTATGACCGAATTTGAAAATTTTTTATATTCTTTTTAATAAGCTAGCTGACGTATAATCTGCATATATTTACTATATTTTAAATGGCAATTTATACATATTTATGTGTTAGACTAGATACGCTGCGCTACATCAAAGAAGAGAGTGGTATGTTCTCTTCTAACGTATCTTCTCATGTTTGACTCGATTCTTTCGTATTTGATTGATTTCTCTCTTTATTCTCTTCTCTTAGTTAATTTTTCTCATGTTTGAGACAAACTTGTTGAACTTGTAGTCGTCACTAACCAAAAGTCTCGCGCGATACACAAATAATACAGAACATATCTACACTTGAAAAAAACGAAAAAGATTTATTTTTCCAATTAAGTAGGATGAATTGCTTTTAATTTCTTGTTCTATTCGACTTAATAACTCTAAGGTAGGGCTGTCGTTTGGGTAGTGAAGTTGGGCGATCGCCCAGGGCGCCATCGGTCAGCGATTAACATACTATCGCGTAATCAACCATGATACCTTGCCTTGCTAAACCTACGTAGTTTAGTTGTTAAGCGACTTACACAATTTCGCCGATATTTCTATTTGACATTGTCAAACCAGGTCGCGACCTATTTGTCAAGATTCGTAAAAAAAATCGCTACCACTTTCAAAATGACGGATTGAATTTGTACAGTTGACGTGTAGTCACTATGATAGTATGAACAGAATGGTCGACTCTAGTCGATTCATTGTTGTATGGATCCCGTGCAATGGGATACAATATAAGGTCGGAAGATTTACTTTGCCTTGTGTATGAAAGGGCTACAGTAGCATTTTAAATTAGTTGTGTTGGTTATTAGACAACAAAGCTCTGAAGTCTAATTCTGATTATATTTACTGCTATTTAGGTTAACATTTAAAGTTTAATTTGTATGTTTATATATTTAGTACGTAAAGATGTTTGCTGTATGTTACCTTATCTAGCCTAACTTCAAGACCTAATTTATTTATATAAAAGAGGTAGGCGTAGGCGGGGCGGGGCGGCGCGACCTCTGACCCGCCCTGTCTCACCCCCTACACCTCTTCACCTCGCTGCGACTTCACCCCCGCACTTTCACCTCCCGGGGTGAGCGCCCGACGTCTTCGTAATATGGAAACTGCCACCTCCGAATGTTGAAAACTTTATACATTTTTCACAAGTTATAAAATATTTTCTTATTAACTAAAAGGTATGTTGTTACCGACAAATTGTGGTCTTCGTCATTAAACAAAATGACGGTAATCTTAAACACTCTAAACGCAAATAAAACGGTTTATTTATTACGGACATATTAGCAAGACTGTGATAGCAAAATCTTATTGGAATTTTATAAAGCTGTAAATTTCTAAAGGACTATTATATTATATTTCCGAAGCAAATTTACAATTTTATTTTAAATGAAGTTTAACATATTCTAAATACGTATAAAATAAAAACGAGAAATATGATGTAGACACGTGTAAGTCAAACACAAATGTAAAATATCAAGATGTGTCAACAGTGTCCAATTGGCGGCTGCGCGGGAGTGCGGCCACGCCCCTCGCCGCCCACGCACACAAAGCCGCATCTAGATACCATTTTATAACAATGATATATTAAAAAAAATTAAAACTACACGAGTAATTAAATAGAAGTCAAATGCTCTTTAATAAAGTTAATTTGTTTTATTTACATGAATTTTGTACAATTTATAGAGAAAATATAACCATTAAGTTACTAAAAAAAATATTAATTAAAGAAGTAATTTCTTTCAAAAAAACTACGAAATTAAGTCGAAAGTTTTTTTTTATTTAAAAAAATTCTGATACTAGTTACTATTTCATATAATAGTATTAAAATCTTAAATTTATCAGACTAAATGTGTAGTAGGAGTTTGTAGTACGTAGAGCCGGCAGACAGAGTAACTTGATGCCGAGGATTGTGTAGCGTTGGTGAAAATCATTAATTTAAATTTAAATCTCACCATGGGTTTCTAATACCAATATCTTTGTATAAAACATATCGTTATCCCTGTCATTATCTTTGACAAAACAGAGATAACAATATGTTTTTTTAATCGAAGATTTTAATCTCAGTAACCCAAGATCAATGCTTCAGTTATTTATCTATAGCTTTAGAAATAAATTATCAAAGACAAAGGAAATTTGTGTGATCTCTTTTTGTCATATTTTTAAGTAAAATCCTAAAAATCACTGGCTTATTTTTTGTATACACTTATTCTACTGGATATGGATTAATAAAAAAAAAATTATGCCAAAACAATTTTGTTTTTTTTTTTTTTTAATTTCTTTTGCAAAGCTAAAAGTATTTATTGTAAATAAACCATAAAATATATTTATATATATAACAGCGCTGAACTTTTTGTAGCATCTTTTGGATCGATAATCCGTTCTTTAACTAGGTTAACAAAAAGTAATAGAATTTTTAAAATTGGTCAAGTAGTTTTTAAAATACAATTCTTTCCTTTTCGTAGTATTGATAAACGTAAAGAATTAGTTTTATGCCGAGTAGGACTTATGAAACTACGTAAACATTGAAGATTAGTATTAAAAATTCCATGCAAATGTAATTAATAACAAAGTAATATAGATAAGAATAAATAAATATTAAAGTCCGCCCAACAGATTTTCTTACCGACGGTACGCGACTGAAAGATTTCCACCCGTACCCCTCCCTCTGGCCCCCGTGCGGGCGGGCAACGGGCGCGGGGAGCGCGCGTGGGGGGCGGGGGGCGGGGGGTCCCGGTCGAGGTGGCGGGGCCTTCGCTCCCTGCCCCCGGGCCACCGGGCCAATGGCGCCGCGGCGAGGCCTGGCCCGACCCGGGCTCAGTCGCGACACAGCCGCGACCCTTGACACACGGGTGCGCGCCCGCCGTTTCGCGCGCAGTGACATCAACCGGCACCATCACGCACGGCGCGTTAGTGTACGGCGGGGTCGGCGGTCCGGGGCTCTGCCCGCGTGGCCCCGACCTCCCGCCGCTCGAGCTCGGCTTCCGCGGTCCTTGGCGCGAGGACGAGCTTCTGCCTTCGACTCCTGCCAGCCAGGCCGCGTCCACGCAGAGCGGATCCTCCGCCGCCGATAAGGGCCAGAACGTCGAGTGCGTCGTCTGCGGGGACAAATCCTCGGGCAAGCACTACGGCCAGTTCACGTGCGAGGGTAGGTAGTGAAGTGAAAGTGCGGTGTCAAAGGTCGCGACGTTCGCCGCAGTGATTGCGGGCGGGAATGTAGGTTAGCGGTGCTGGGTTCGCTTCTCGAGATCGTAACGATACGCGACTTATCATTAGTGACCGGTACGGTGCACAGAAATAAGTGACGGTCGAAGTAAACTCAGACAATTTACTAGCAAAAATCCTGATTACGTTGAGTCGATTTACCTATCCTTTATAAAGTTAAGTTAGATTATTTTTGAAGACGTGACGATAATTACGATCGCAAACAAGACCAAGCGATTTAGTATAAATATTGAAACCTAAATAATTTTTAATTGATTATTATCTGGTATATAATACCAGGATCCGTTTAGAAAATTGTATAAATTAAATCGACCTACGCCAATCGATATTTTACATTTTTACGCCAAAAAAATCTCAAAAACACACACACAATGTACAAAAATTTGAGGAATTTCTAACTTTTTTAAACATCTAACTAAATGTTAAATTTGTAAAAAATCGCACATTTCAGTGATTTACAAAATTAAATTAATTTATAATAAAATGAAGTTTAAAACAATGAAAAGTAATTAAGTCCCCTCTAACCTGTGTAAAACATTTTCCCGCGAATTTTCCTCTAATGAGAATGCAATAAGACAAAGTTTTCACAAACTGCCTGTCTTCATAGATAAGGGTCGTCACATTTATGCTAATAAGACTGTTATTGCCATGATACGAAGGGAACTTTGTAATTAATAATAACAAAAGTGAAATTAAAAACTTTCTTGGACAAACTCTGATTTAAATTTAACTTTATAGCATGTATTAGTTTAATTTCCCTGGTAGCGAGAAAAAATAAACTTATATCTTAAAATGAGCAATTCTTGTATATATATATACAAGAATTTCGGAATCTGCTCCAACGATTTTCATAAAATTTAGTATATAGAGGGTTTCGGGGGCGATAAATCGATCTAGCAAGGAATCATTTTTAGAAAATGTCATTTTATTCGTGTTTTATCGATAATCAACTTAAACATAAACTCAACTTTTTCTATCGGTAAGATCGAAAAATATTATTCATATTTCATCATTTTATTAGTAATTCGTACTTAAATATAATTTCCAAAAAACACAATTAAAAAAAAAATACCGAGCAAAGCTCGTTCATCCAGGTTCTATTTTTTTAAGTTGAAAAGTTCATATAACAGCTACAAACAGTTTCTTTGAGACATTTTTATGTGGCGATAGTCTTTGCTGTCATAACCTAACATGCGCCGTGATTGATGAGTTTTTTTATACAATGGTCACTATAATTTTTATAACGTAAGAAAACAATTACATCTTTTAATATTTCTTTTATTTAACTGTGGTAAAATATTTATTATGAAATGTACATTTTTAATTGAAGTGATTTAAAATGTGTTTCGTCCTTTTTTTAAATAGTCAAAGGTTAGACGATGGCACAATTACATGTCACTTTTCGGTAGTTACGAATAATAGTTTATTTAAATAATGAGACTGGAAATTATAAATTAATTAGGTTATTTTATGAACAATCTATAAAATCAGATACCAATACCTTTGTCTAATTTAGGGTATAAAGAAATTCGCATAGCAATAAGCTACATATTTAAAATTTTAATAAAATTAGTTCGTGCTCTGCGCTTTTACCGACGCAAGCGGTATCTCTACCAACATAATATTATAGTTATATTGCCGTTAACGATGACTTAAGTAATCCTTAAGTTTATTAAATCTTTATCTATTAAACAAACAACATAACTCATGTCCGTAACCCAGAGGTTTACGCAGAACTACGGACCTCCATTTGGCACGGTTCTGACACCCCTCTCTCGCTTCTTCTACATTCATACATCTGTGCATACATATTCCTCGGTTTCGGATGTCCGCCCGCCATTATACCGCCCTTGTTAAGTATTTTATCAATTTGGATGGTATAAGCCCTTCTGCAATGGCCCCGACCGAAACTGTCGTTCACTTTCGCGCCATAAATCCGTCGTGTCCAAACCATCTAAGCATACCTTTTTTCTTACACACAATCCATCCATTTCTTAGGTCTGCCTCTACATTTGTTGATATCAACAAATCTTATTACTTTCTTGTTTATTATCTTTTCAATAATAATTACGTGAAGAGTTAAAACAATGCATAGATTTTTCCAAGAGACCAAAGATTAAAAGGAAGATGGTTAATGATTGTCCGCGTCTTATCTTGCCGTGGAATTTACCGTGACATTTATTGTCGTCTCTGTTTTCTTCAAAGTGAATGAAAGGGATAACAATAAATCCATAGTTAGTGTTTCATGTTATTTGGACGTTGATTTAATGATTTATCAGATTTAATCCTGTCCCTGATTACTTTCATGACGATTGTTTGAGAGAATTACATGTAGATAATTTTAATTATAATTTACCTTTATTATGGAAACTGGATAAGATTAAACAATGATGTATATTTATAAATTAACACGTAAATAGAAAGAGCTTGTATCTTTCTATCGGCTTTGCATGTATGGTATGTAAACTAAAGATAAAAGATAAACATCGATGAAGGATTAGAAAAGTAATAGATATGGAAGTTCTTAATGACATTTTCAATTACACCTTGTCGTTATTAACATAGTTTAATGTTAGAATAATCTTACTAATTTAAAAATGCAAAACTTTAGATGATTGGACTTCAGATAGAAACTTTTTATATTACATATCTTCAGAACATCTAAGCGGATCCCACTGAAAGGCATCTATTTTAACAGTGGTAGAGCCCGCTTTAACATCTTCGCACGAATTGGCCCGGCTCGCCCGGTGAAATACCACGACCACACAGAAGACAAGCGTGAAGTGGAAGATATTCCGTGTTTCGTCTGATGAGTGTGCGTCCCGGAGGCCTAATTTAGTCCTCTTTTCCTTCCCACACTTTTTCTTATAAGGAAAAGATGGGAAGTGAAAGTGGACTTTCCGGATGAGAGGATGCATGGAAAGGGAAAATATTTTTACTTTCTGTGCATCCTCTCCTCCGTCGATCAAAGGTACGCAACGCATATGCAATTGCGTATGTCTATGGGCAACGGTCACTTCGCTATATCAGTGATAGAAGAAGGAACTGTCTACTTTTTAAGGGGTTTTTTTTAAATTCCGGACAAAGTAACAGAGTATATAGAACGAAAATACATAATATATATTAATAACTGCCTGTTAAAGATTATGTGGTCAAAGATTTTCGCCTACTCCTGTAGAACTATGCGGTATTTTTTTTATAATGATTTGTCAATCAAATTGCGTTAGGCCGACGGCGTTTAGTCCGTGACCTCGACTGTTCAAAGCTGTGGTTAACCTAACCTTACGTTTTTTACATTCGCCTTGCATTCTATAAATATTTTTGTTTTAAATCGATTAATTTTAGAAACAATGATACTTTTTTTTAGTTTTGAGCTATTGATTAAATTTAATGTAAAGATAATATTTAGTTGGTAACTTTAAATTAAAAGAAAAAAAATGTTGACAGTTTTTGTTTTCAAAGTCTTACGAATCCTCTCATTTCTAGCGTATACGATTGAATACTTTATTTAAAAAAAGAATCATAAAAAAATAACGATATCGACTTCCTTTCAATTTTATTAAAGGAACTAAAAAACAAAACAATGTCGCCAAATATCAAACCAAATCGGCGGCCCAAATTAAAATCATTAATTTAAATTTTTTAAAATTCATCATAAATTCCGGCAATTCGTTCATTTGTTATCAAATGCAATGGCCAGTGGCGCCAAAGAGGTTACGACCTATGTCTCACATCATATTTTAGTAAAAATAACGATATTAGCACAAATGCGAATTAAAAATCTCTATAATATAGAGGCGATTGCTTGGAAATGACAGCTTTTGCTTCGTTCCGATTTAAAAGCTTATTACGTCACATTATTTAACAGATTATGCGTATGAAAAACAAAAAACCCGTGAGTTTCTGAGACGAAAGCCTCCGTTTAAAACATATTGTTATCTCTGTTTTGTCAAAGATAATGACAGGGATAACGATATGTTTTATACAAAGATTTGAGTCTCCAAAACAAACGGTACGGTACACGAATAATTTTGTCTTCCAAATTCCCTTTAAAGCTATTGTACTGAACAGTAATTGATAGTAAAAATTTACCTACACATGTAAAATTTAACTGTGGGTTTCTCAGACCAAAATCTATATATTTATATATAAAAGAAAGTCGTGTTAGTTACACTATTTATAACTCAAGAACGGCTTTACCGATATGGCTGGAAATTGGTGAGGAGGTAGCTTAGAGCCAGGAGACGGACATATACCATTTATTCATTTTTTTTCGATTTTATGCCTTGAAGAGCTGCTTTTTACTTACCTTACTAATATTATAAATGCGAATGTTTAGATGGATGTCATGTAGATGGATGGATGGGTGGGCTACACTAATTAAGTTTTTTTATATATCCACGCGGATGGTGTCGCGGGCGACAGCTAGTCTCTATATAAAACATCAGTCATTATTTTTGACAAAACAAATTTAAATTTCGAACATTTAAAAGTTCAAATTACGATAAGCAAATTTTAAAGCTGCAATATTTATTTCGAAATTCAAAGTATTCTATCTCAACATTTTGCTATCGATTCTTGACACTATTTGCATATAAAACGATCGAATTTTTATTTATTAAATTTTAAATGTTAAATGACAAATATTTACAGTTTTTGACATCATCTTTTTAAAATGTACATTTTCTATTATGACATTTAATTTATAACTGGCCAATATCAATAAAGAGAAAGAAAAATATGAAATCGATTTAATTGTGACACATTCGAATATGATCGAGTAAATACATCCCAAATATAAATTAGTGAGGTGCGATATTTCTTTAAAATGTTCAATCTGATAAACATTTTGAGTCAATCCAATAAACATTTTGAGTGAAGAGTTTTTATTTTGGAATAATATTATATTGGGGACGCGTCGAC